AGCACTTTTTTGCAAAAATTGATGAAGACACAATAAGATCCAATAAAATACAAGAATATACTACAAAAGATGCAATAATATACAATAATACACAAAAATACAACAATATACAAGTATAGACCAGAACATGCAGCAATATACACGTACAAAAGAATAACATACAATAATTTCAGTCATTGACAATAATATTCAATAATAGACAACAATATACAAAACATTTCAAAAAACACAACAGTATGTTCAATAATTTTCAAAAATATGCAAAAATATACAGCAATATAGAAAAGCACAATGACATACAATAAAATCAAGTAGTATACACAAACATACAAAAATATACAATAGTAGACAATAATATACAATAATATACAATAATATACAAGAATATACAAGAATATACAAGAGTATACAAAAACATACTATAATATAGAATAATCTGCAAGAATATACAAAGAAAATTCAATAATATACAATAATATACAGTAATCTGCAAAAAAGAGGAGAATATACAAAAAACTAAAAGACACACACAAATACATGCAATAATATGCAATATGATACAAAAAATACAAGAAAATACAAGACAATACAGTAATACTCAACAATATATACAACAATATACAATATCATGCAAGAATATACAATGTCATACAATATTGTACAAGAATTTACAATACTTTGCCATAATATACATGCTTCAGAGTATACGCATTTTTTGAAACTTCTAATGCCAAGATGCCAGCATTGATTTGCAGCCTTTGCAAACTCAGAAGTGCTGCTATTTGCAGTATTTCCAGCCTCTGAAATCGCAGAAATGCTGCTATTTTCAATATTTGCAGCCTCTGGAAACTCAGAAATGCTGCAGTGTACAGTATTTCCAGCCTCTGAAAGTGCAGAACTGCTGCTAAATACAATATCTGCAGCCTCTCTCTGGAAACTCAGAGATGCTGCTATTTTCAGTAGTTCCCGCCTAAATGCTGTGTTTTTTCGGTATTTAGAGCTTGTGAACGGCCAGAACTGCTGCATTTCTGAGCGTTTACAGCCTCCGCTCCGCTGGCAAGAAGCTTTCGAGGCCTTCAGTAAATTGTTTTTTGATCCCAAATAAGTTTTTTTGATCCGCCTAGACTTAATTTATTTTTTGATCCCAAATAAATTTTTTTTGATCCCCTACCCGAGGCTTTTTTAAGCTCTAAGCCCAGCAAACCCTGGTAAAACCAAAGACGCCCGAAGGCACCTGTTAGCTGCTTCAGTGTGTAGACATGAATCTGACATGAATGTGTGAGGCAGAGACTGCGCGAAAAGCGACTCCCGAGGCAGCTCGTGGGAGTTGTGCCTCGGGGTTCTGAGGCCTTTGGGCCCCCAAGCTTTGGAGGTTTTTCGGCTTGAGGGCCGAAGGTCTGAAGGTTGGCATCTGCACGGTTCTACTTTCCATACATTTGACATGTCGCCGATATCCCAAAGTACTCTTTCTGTGATGGTTCTTGAAGCCCATGCTGTGGAATCTGTTGGCGTTTGCCATCAGGCACTTGAGAAGCACGGCATCCCGGCACGTGCCAGCACTGCACCGAGAACACGGCTTCAAAGGTTGCAAAGTCTTCACAAACTCCCTTGCTGGGCTGCAGTTGTTGGAAGGCATGTCTTGACCCCCGTTCTCCTGACAGCTCGGGCCAGCATGTTGGATATTTCCGAGCGCTGAGAACACCATCATGGATAAGAACGGTTTTTGTTGCTGGATGCAAGCGAGTGCCACTTGACGTCTTATGGAGTGCTACCCTTTGGTGCTCAGGTCCCGACTTGACCGAGACCGGGCAAGGCGGGGCCCTTTTCAACTAAACTGTGTTTTGCAAGCGTGCAGCAAGCGTGAGGAAAGTATGGATTCGTGTTTTTTTGTGATAATGGCCCGGTTGGTGTGTTTTCAGAACTTGCTTTTTTCAGGACCCTCAGGAGCATCGCCTCCCAGCCCAGAGGCAGGAAGAACCGTTGAAGCGCAGCACTTGCCACTTTTCCCCAACCCTCGAAAAGCTGACAATGGCTGGAGCCGTACTTGGCCCGGAAGGGGCTGCAGGCTTTTCCTCACCCTCTGTTCCACGATGCCAGGCCGCCTGAGCTCCCGGGAGGCGAGTCAGTTTTGTTTTGGCTTCCAGATGGAGCATGTTTTTGTTCACAGCGTTCACGTGTGCCGTGGGGTTGGCCTCGGTATTCCTCAGCTTGCCTGCATCCAGGCCCACCGAGTCGAACCGATGCCGGTGGCTATGCCGGCGGCTATGCCGGCGGCTGTCGACCCCGCGCAAAAAGTTTCTGATTTGCTTTGAAGTTTCCAGGGCCAAGCCAAGCCCGAACTCCCTCCCCGACCCTACGTGTACGGTCGCGAGCAAGTGCTTGAGGTTCTGCGTAGGTTCTGTTTGCAGGGTCATTTTCTGGAATTTGGGAGCAGCGCAACTCTTTGCAACTCTGGCTGTGATTGCAGCAGCTGTCCAGCCGCGGTCCCAGCGCCTCCTCCGAGTGAGCCGGCGCGATGCAGGACTCACCCTGTAACCAGCACTTTGCCACAAATCCGAAATTCCTAGAAGAGTCCCAGAACGACCACACCACATCAAACGTCTTTGTGGCACCCCTGCCCTGCACAATGAACTGCCTAACTCCAGGGAACTCCAGTGCACCCTGAAGTCTGCTAGCCTGCAGACTACGCATGGGCCATGTTGAAGCGCTCGTGATCATGCCCTGGCAAATGTTCAGGAAAATGGGCGCTTCGGGACAATCCCGAACCCACCCAAGGCAAGCCCATCAAGCCCCCAAACCTGAAGACCCGAAGCCTTCGAGAGCACAAGCCCTCCCGGGATTCTCGGGAGGATGCTCAGAAGAGGAAGCTGGAAGAAGCAGCTGAGGATGTGCTCTCTGCAGTTGTGTGGTTGTGACATGTGTGGTAGCTATGCACATGCTGACACTCAGAATGTCTCAGAATACATAAAGTCGTTGGAGCTTTGAGGATCTCGCCCTGGTGCATCTGCTGAACCGAAATAGAAGCTCGGGAATTGGGCCCTTTAATATGTAAGGAACGTTTGGATAGCATGAGGCAGTGATTTGGACTTGGACTAACGTAGCTCTCGCCTCAAGTTGGGTCCATTGATAGCTACGGCTGCCATCATTCTCATCACCACATCGCGCTTCCGGCTATTATTCCATAATGCCAGGTCGGCGCCGCAAAGAAGTCCTTGGTCATCGCCATGGAGGCCGTGGACCGCTCTGAAGCGCTTGCGAGAGAAAGAGAGAAAGCATTGCTAAGTTTGCACTTGGACCTGCCTTGTAGCTCGTGATGCGATGCGGTTCATCTTGAAAGGGAGGTCGATACAAGCACCAGTAGACCGCACATCATCTTTCGTCACATCGTGTTCAGGTCTTGCGGGTTTTGAGGCGGTGTCGCGGAGGGGTCGGTCGCCTGCAAAATGTCCTTTTCTGTGAACGTGAGTCTACACATGCATGCAATGCAGCTTTAGGCCTCGCGATACGTCCGCCGCATAGGCCCTTGAATCATATCCATATTGGCGCAGCTTCGCTATGTGGGAAAAAGGAGTCGCTCGCCAATTCTCAAATTGGTACCGAACCCATTACACCCCGTGCAGACTGTTCCTGCGAGAGCGTTTCTGCGAGGTCGTGGGGTCGGAGCGGATCGGAGCTCCGGGCATCGAAAAACATCGCAGATATCATGAGATCACTCGGAGGCTTGGAAAGTACCGCAAATATCGTGGGATCGGCTTCTCTAGGAGGCTGGCAGCGAAAGCGCCAAACCTGAAAGAGCAACGCCATTTTGCCTGACTTTTTCCGCAAAGGGTCTGTGCAGACCCGAAAGAGCACCACTTTGCTATAACAGACAGCGAAAAGGAACGGCCCGAACGTGTAACACTTTGTTGAAGCAGAAGACACATCACGACACATCAACACTTATCCACACACATACTTCTCTAGGAGGCTGGCAACGAAAGCGCCAAACCTGAAAGAGCAACGCCATTTTGCCTGACTTTTTCCGCAAAGGGTCTGTGCAGACCCGAAAGAGCACCACTTTGCTATAACAGACAGCGAAAAGGAACGGCCCGAACGTGTAACACTTTGTTGAAGCAGAAGACACATCACGACACATCAACACTTATCCACACACATCAACACACATCAGCACACATCAGCGCATACTGTATCCACACACACACACACACACACAGCCACGCCCACGCGCACGCCCACGCCCACGCCCACGCCCACGCCCACACCCACACCCACACCACATCACCACCACTGCGAGGTCACAAGCCATGTGTGGTTGTCCAGTCCTTTAATTGTCTAGGAATTCCTAGAGGTTTTCCCTTTAAACGACAGAAGCAGTTTGGGTATGATAGTACGTCCGTTGGCATAGGGCCCTGGAGTCATATCAGCGTAGCTTGGCAGTGAGCAAAATAAGAGTCACTCGCCAATTTTCAAGTTATCTTAAAGTTGAAAGCATATTAATGCTGGACATGTTGTTTGCTTCGACCAGGTCGACCAGGTCGACCAAGAAAAGAGCGTTGTTCCAGCTCTTCTGAAGAATGAGGACGCCGACACCGCCTTCCAAAAACACGTTCGCATGGCGGGAGCTGACCTGCAATGCTACACTGCCGCACGGAACAAACTTTTGCAGATTCTGCTTCAAGCAGTAGCATAGTGCAGCTGTCGCAAACATTTGCGGTCTGATCTTGTTGAAGAGAATGCAATCCCCCAGCATCGACTCAGCGGGAGAAGCGAAGAAGCTTGACGATCTATGACGAGGTTGCTCGATTGTTGCAAGTAAAAAAGGTCTGGAAATCCACGAGTTGCACTGGGTTTGGGGCAGGGTGCGCACAAAGAATGCGCCAAGCTGGATGCGTGCATGTAGCGGAACCTGCGTCAGGCCAGCGTCATACGTTATGATGTGTCTCATACCACTTGTCTAAGGACATGAGGCCATGAGGCTCCTGTGTGTAGCTTTGCTCCAGGACTTCAACCGAGAGCTCCTGAAGATCTATTACGCGGTGATCTAAGCATGCCTTAAACGCCTTCAGCTTCTTTCCTGTCGTAAGGGCTCTCGCAGCAGTGTCGAGGTTCCATCGCTCCAAAACATTCAGTGCTCGCAAGACTCCGGTTAAATCTGGACTGGGCTTCTACGCGGGGAATACGGTGGTTTTGGGCGACGGCTCTAGTCCAGAAGTCAAGAAAGCACCAAATCGCAACACCAAGGACAAGTTCTTTCCCTTCCTGGCCATGTTCAGGTTCCTGTGCAAGACTTTCTCGTCATCAGTTAAGGAAGGTTGGGGCTGTAGGAAGTGGGGAGCTGTTGTTTCGCAAAAGACGTTTGCGGAAGTCCCGAAGTGCAACTACGCTCTGCCTTTTGCTCAGACTACCAAATGGCCTGGATGCTTGTCGGGCCTATGCCATTTGTTCGGGAGGGTGTGGCTAGGTGGCTGAGCTACCGCAATGACCCGAAGAGTGCTAGCACTGGTGCCTCAGTCTCAGTGCCTCAGCCCAGGGATCAGGGATGATGATGGAATGCTGTGAAGTTCCCAGCCTCTCCAGCCTCTCCAGCCTCTCCATGTTCCAAGGCGCAAAAGGACTTTTTCAACCGGCGCGAGTTTGATCTTGTGCTTCAGGTCCTGGACTGAAACCGGAATCGGAGCGTATTTGCTGTGAATTTACACTTGCAGTTCCTGCAAAAGCTTGTGCAGGGAGATGCCGGCAATGAGATTCACTGCCGATACACCTGCTTCAAGGACGCTGAGGCGGCCGATGTCTGAACGTGCCTTCCTTACCCCGCATGCGCTAAAAGTTATGGTCGATCGAGAAGTTCACTGATCTTCTCATAGCTGTCCCATGAAGCGGATGCACGATGCAGGCTATGCCTTGTCACATACACTGAAGAAGTAGGTACAGAGACTGGCAAGCTTACACATGCTCTAAATTGCTCCAATGTCCAGCGTGAAAGTCCTGAACCTTGTCATATCTCTCACCCCAATCTTCAAGAGCTGCCAACCCTCCAGTACGTAAACCTGTTGTGTCGTCAGTGGGGTACGTGTTTGGGGTCCAGGAGTACCGAAGTCGTGTGTTGGAGAGACAGCCTGCGCTGCCCTCAGCGTTATGCAAGTGATGCAAGTGTGGACGTAGGTTAGTTTACAATGGTGTACAGCTCTTGCTGGCATGGCCCATTCAGTGTTGCTGAGTTGTGACTTGTGACGGTGCTGGTGATAGGTTATGTTATGTCGCATGCTATGTGCCGCGTCATCAAGTCATCAAGTGGCATGCCATGACATTCACATCAGCTGAACTGCAAATCAAAATTGCCCACACCCTGGAGACAGCCAGGGTTAGGGCGGACCGGGTCGAGGGGTCCGGCGGTGACTACGGTACCAGTGTGCTGCATCCTTGAGCCTCGAGTTGACGTAGTTCATGCCTTATGGTTAACAGTTGCACCTCTCTGGTGCGCGTCGTCCCAAAAGTGTAGGTTTGCGCAGGGTTTGTTTTATGGAGGACACGTGCAGTTCGCACCTTGGACAGTCGGAAGTGGCGCAGAGATGCGAGCCAGGGATCTAGAAATGCAAAGGTTGGGTACGGTGGTTAATTAAAGTTGACTCGGGGCATTTGCTCGTTAGTAGGCCTGCTGGCTGAGATTCGAATGGAGATTGGTGCTGTGTACTCCCATCCGCCGGTCAAGCACAAATTGGTCATGAAGGCTCGTATCATGCTGTGCGAGAATTGCTAGAAGGGCACCCTTCCTTTTTGCAGCGGTGAAGACACCCTAGTCTGGGGAAGGCCCAAGGTTGACGTTTAGAGGGTTTGAAACGAAGCATTGGCTGTCCGAAGCTGGTTGCGTGAGGGCTCCAATAGTAACCTGAAGATGTCATCCTGTTGCATTCCTGCCGTGTTTGAGACATTTTGAGACCCATTCCCGAGTGCTTCAGGATCGCTTCTGACCATAAAGGCAAGACACACGGGTTCGGCCTCTTCGAATGTTCACGTAGTCTAGGCTGGAGATTAAGTGTTTGCAGGTCGTTTGCAGCCTGTCTGCTGTGGAAGCAGGATCCCCACGTCCCAAAGCCCATAGCTTGGGAGGACGCCTACAAGCCGCTGGAGCGCGAGCTCGTTTTCGATATCGACTTGACCTGAGCATTCGATTCTTATTTGGACTCTTAAGGACTCTTGGACTCTTGGACTCTCGGGGCCGGTGGTGTGCGGGTTTGTAGGCCGCCAGGGGTGCTCATCGGAGAGCTCTGCAAGCACCAAGGCCCCGCCCAGCAGAAAATGGTGAGCGTCGCCATTCGATTGTGGGACAGGGTGGAAGGGGGAAGGGAAGCCAAAAGGCATCAATAAGCTTGTCAGCTTAAGTCAAGGGCACCAGCTGATGAGCCCTTTCTTGTGGGTTCCGCGCGACAAGCACGCACCGCCAACCACACGACACATAGCCCGAAGCCTGAGCCCGAACGTTGCACTCCACATCCAATTCTCCACCCACGCCATCAAGGACATGGATGATTACGATGACATCCGAAGTTGCTGCACCGGTGCCAAGCTATGTCCAATGCCAAGATCAGGTTTTTGTGGGATCCTAGGTATGTATGCGCAGTAACAGACCTCAGAGGTGGAATGCATCAGTACAGTGCTAGCCTGATCTCCTTCGATTCCGCTTGAATGTCTATCATGGTGTTTTCACAGCCAAGGTGTGAAGTGCTGGACCTTCATGAAGGCTGCTGCCTTCAAAGTTGCACGTTCAGGGCTGAATTGGGTTCGGCTCAGGCTATCAGTCTATGAGTGAAAGACTTGTGTGTTGCATTCGCCAGGGCCCCCAAATGCACAGCGCAACAGCTGGTAAAGAGAATTGCGAAAACCGGCTTGCATGTCCTTGGTCTAGTTCCAATAGCGCTTGAACAATCTGGCTCCCAATGCAGGCAGCCATTGAGATCCTCCGTCGAGCTTTGCGCGAGGCGAGGTCCTGAAGACCTGACAAAGAAATCAGGAGATAATCAGGTCCTTCTAAGAATTCTAAGCTACTTGCAGCTCCAAGGGCCTCCAAGGGCCCACTTACCTAGTTCGAAGAGACTCTAAGCCCTTGCAATCCTAGAAGCTGAAGCTGCTCTGCTCGAACCCCCCAGGCGTCTGCACAAATGCTCCTCAACTGTCTGAGCTTTACACACGAACGAAAAGAAGCCACAAGACAAGTGAGGAAGAGCACACACTGAGTACACGATTGTCAGGATTTTGGCTTTGACCACCTCCTGTTCGTGTACTCCGGCCGGAGAGGCGAAGCATCACAAGCTAGGAGAGTTGCGGCTTCAGAGGGCCGATGCTCAGAGTTCGGCAAATGCAGCCGTTGTCCACGTTGCCACGGCCACAGACACATAGACGTAGACGTGCCACTTGCGTTTAGGAACCTAGGAGTCCATGTTCATCTCTGTATCCACACGTAATCCACACGTACAAGCAGGAGTTCATTGCTGGGTCTGCGACGCGGCTGCCCGGCGGCTCAACAACGAGCAGCGCTCCGCTTTGGCGGAGCCCGGGCCTCAGCGAGGAGCAAGATTGTCTTAAGTACTGTCTTGGTATGCCTTAAGTTCCGGTTTCGGTTCGTGTCGGTTCCGGGGCCGGCATTTCGTTGCGGCTCGGGTCGTTGGGCGGTTCCGGTTCCTATCTGGAACCGCCGAACGGTTCCCGTTCCTAACGGTTCCGGTTCGGTTCCCTCCATAGACATGGTCGGTTTGCGTGACCAGACGATGTTGCAGGGGGCTCAAGCCTCTAGGACAGACTGTTGCAGGGGCCAACCGTGGCAAACCCTGAAGCCCAGCTTGAACCCCTCCAAACTTTTCCTTGAGGGTTCAAACGTGGCCTGAGTCAGCCCCCAAAACGTACCCACTTAAGGCTGATGCGAGTCGCTCGCAGGGGCTTGTGGCTTCTAAAAAAAATTTTAAATCGTTTCGTACAAAGAGGCCCGCACTGAAAATTTGTTTTGTTTCGTGCCTTCCCAGCCTCAAAAAGCCGGAAAAGGGTACATTTTCGGCGCGGCCTTCTTAGACAAGATGCCTCAGGGCCTTCTTGGGGAAGAGGCCCACACGGAAAATGTACCTTTTTTCGTGGCTTCCTGGCGTCAAAAGCAGGAAAAGGGGTTATTTTCGGTGCGCCGGGCCTCCTTCGGGCAAGAGGCCCGCGCCGAAAAGATACCTTCTTTCATGCCTTTTGGCCTCCAACAGCCGAAAAAAGGGTACATGTCGGTGTGGGGCCTTCTAGGCAAGAGGCCATGCTAATCTTCTCTGTATCGTTCCAATTTTATCGGATGATCCCCGAAGGGAATCCGATTTCGCTCGAAGTTGCCAAATAAGATATCTCCACAACAAACCCGAGAAAAAAACCTTGCAACTGAACCAGTTGCTGGAGGTGAGTAGCCTTACAGTGTGAGCTCAGGGAGTCAGACAACTCCGCCTTCTTGGCGCGGGGCCTTCTTGGCAACAGGCCCTTTTAGTACATGTAATAATGGGGCATGAACGAACACTGGGGAAAAGAGGTTATGGTCGCGAGAATTACATGACAGCGTGAAGGTGATCTGTGAGCCAAGTTCGTGAAGACAACACCCCTGTCCATGGGGAAGAGGCCCAAGAGGCGTTGGGGGCGTTCTTGGGGAAGAGGCCGGCACCGACAAAGTACCTTCCTTGTTCGGCTTTTGGAGGCCAGGAAGACCCATTTATTTCATTTTAGGCTCTGTGAAAAGCATCAAAATGAATGCACCGCAAACGTACCCTTTTTTGGCTCCTTGAGGCTACAAAGGCATCAAAATGGGTGCGCTATCGGTGCAGCCTTCACCCACACCGAAAAACGTACATTTGAAGTTCCTTGCGGCTACAAAGGCATCTTGCGACAGTTTGATTGTTTGAAAACAAGTTTGGAGGTCTCCAAACCTTTAACTATGATTCTCTTCTTGTGGTTTGGGCAGCTACGCTGACCGAAGCAGTTTCGCTGTCAAAACGGTTCCGGTTTTCGGGTCATTTGCGCTTCGTGGTTCCTGCGATTCGTGTTTGATGGCCAGTTTTGGTGGTGCGGTTCGCTCGGCTGCGGTTCGGTTGCAGCCTTCCTGTATTATTTCTTTGGTCAGTGAGTGTTCGCCAGGGTGGCAGTTAAGGCGTCTGGCTCTTGTGGATTGAACGGAGGCGAAAGACGAGAATGCGACATGCAACAGCAAGCAACGGTTTTTGGGCAAAGCTTCAGTATTTGTTCTACTGACAAAGCGCTCAGAGCTTTGCTGCCCAAAACGATGCATCCAGCGCAGCTCTTTGTCACTCAGGTACATGACGATGGTGACGCCCGGGGCCGGCAAGTGTCGCCGGGATCTTGGTCTGCCTTCGGATTGCGACGCCGGAATACGCCGGATAGAGAAAGAATAGGGGAAGAGAAGAAGAGAAAAAAATGCTGGAACATTGAAAGCCATTGAAGCCCTCGTGATTCGGATGGTGCGGCCACCCAAGGTGCTGACCTCAAACTTACTGGCATGGAGGAGCCGGGTGGACAAAGTAACAGGGCAGAGGTAGCATTCGCAGGATGTGGCTTTTGATTGGTTTCGTCCGACTGGGTTTTCATGGCTCCCTGCGGTGCTCTGAGTGGATCTAAGCAGGCTGCCAAGAGGTTTGTCGCGCGAAAGTCGCTCCCTCACCCCGGCTCTCCTGGCCACTCATTCGATTTTTGTTGCAGAGCTCGTGTCACGCGCAGTGTCGTGGCGCTGTGTAGAAGCTTTAGGGACAAAAACCGCGGGGTTTAGGCGGGTCGCGGCCGAGTCAGGCCAGTAAAGCAAAGCAGAGTTACCGTGCCGCGGACGGCGGCTGTGAGTGTGCAACGTGATACGGGTCTGGCCATAGGGGTCCACGGCGGGGTCAATAGAATGTAGCGAGCACAGTTCTTTCTGAACCTGACTGCTTGGCTCAAGTGCTCAAAACAGGATTGACTGTCACTGCTCACTGAGTGTTGTGATCGCTACACTGCTGACTAGAGCACGCTGGTGAGAACCAGGTGCCTGATATACAATGGCTGCACTCGGTCATGTCAACGGTTTCAGCCACCGACTTTCGATGGCTCGCTGAACCAGTCTGAAGATTGGTCCTGGCAATTGAAGAAGTGCATAGGACGGTGAAGCACAACTGCTCATGAACTATTGCGAAAGCTTGACTGAAACTGTTCTGGGCGAACGTGCCGCAGAGTGGAACATGCGAACTGATTGGAGTCATGAATTTGGCTGTCAACTGTTTAACTTGCTAGCACTGAGGGAGATGCGGGAGCGATTGCGAGACAAAACGGATGCTGAATTTAAAGCGTTGTAAACACCACTTTTGCAACAAAAAAAAAGAGCTTCTGCCAAGGCCGGCGGTGTTTTTGATCTGCTTTGCGCTGGCTGCAAAAAAGCCTCACAGCCACGGCGAAGCGAAAAACAGGCAGTTAAGCAAAAAACCAGCCGCTCTTGCCAAAGTTGGAGGTTTTTTTGCCTAGCCCTGGCCGAGAGAGACAGCCACGGCTAGGCAAGAAGTAATACGAGAAGTTGCACAGCCACGGCTAAGCAAAAACAACAACAAAAAGCACTTCCGCCCGCTGCCCAGAAGATTGGGCTTTTCAAGGAGATCACTGGAACGGGCGCTGGATGACCGGAAATATCTTGAACTGAGCACGGAATCCTCGCATGTTAGGTGGAAGCGCACACTGTGCGGACTGGTGACTGATTGGCAAAGTTGGTTGGAGCTCTGTGGGGATTGGGGGGCCTTGCAACGCAGCGGGCGGACCTGTTCTTTGACCCTTGGTCCAGGGCCTTGGCGGACGAAAGCCTCAAATTCTACTAACTCACGGTTCAGAGTCTATATAGAGAGCTTTGCGTTTCAAACCCTGTTTCAAGCCTGGAATTTTAAATGCCTAGGATTTTGTGGTCTCATTGCGCCTGCAGGGTCGACAGAATCCTAAACGGTAAGGAGCTTGAAGCTGCTGGAAGCCCTATAGGCCCTAACCGTATCCGCTGGGCCAGTTTTTGGTCGCAGGAGCTCCACCCCGCTGTCTCAGAGGCTCCGGGGAGACGAAGGGGGCGAGAGTTTGGTGAGAGATCATGCCCGAGATCAATGGGGTGAAGTAGGGAATTTTATATGCCTATACAAACCTTGACACGAAAGGCCTACACCATCTGCAAGAAGTGGTTCCGCGATGACCCGAACTGCATTCTGAACAGCCAGGACTGGCACCAATTAAGCAGTGTAACGTCTTTGGGCGGTTTTATCATCTGGAGGCTCGTAAGGACCTTGCCCCAGCCCCAAAATCCTACAGACTGGAGACTCTGATGCCCGAACCGGCCAATCAAGACTGCTCCGCATCGTTTGGGTGCTGATTCCACCTTTTGCGACCCGAAAGACTTCCCTGTCTGCCGAAGCACACGAAGATTGGAAGTGTTCCCACGGGGATCGATGCTGTGGGAGAGAGTTCAATCCGATTTCCCGGTGTACAGGCTTACGGCTCTTAAGTCCTAGTCGAAGGGCACGCAAAATGTTCACAAAAAAAAACAACGGCCCCGGCTGGTCTCTTGTGCCGCCCCCCCCCCCCCCCCCCCCAAAAAAAAAAAACAATAAACACCCCTTGTGCTCACAGCGACCGAGATTTTGCCGAAAGCGTTCAAACAAAAAAGACGAAGCATGCCCCAAAAGAAGATGTGCACGCTCACTCTGTCTCTCTCTCGCTCTCTCGCTCTCTCTCTCGCTCTCTCTCTCTCTCTCTCTCTCTCTCTCTCTCTCTCTCTCTCTCTCTCTCTCTGCAACATAGCTAGGAGAGCCACACACAGGCACACACCCTGAACATCTCTCAATGGCGGGTACCCGTTTTAGGGTATAGGGTCCAGCCACCCACGCCCCCCTGGAAAGTGGTGGTGGGGTTTAGGGGTTAAGGGTTGTCCGGGCCTTCCTCGTAATTTGAAGGCGAAAAAGATACGAGGCCAGAAGTGACGACAGTTACGATGATGGCGAAGAAAGAGCTGACAGATACGGGGGATACCCTTGCTACCCCGGGGGGGGCAGGGCTTGGGAGCACAGGATCATGTATCTGGTATATCTGTTATCTGGTATTGCTTTTTTGGGGGAAAGTTTTCCACCTGCTGTTGCCGTCTACGCCTTCCACTTGAACGCTGTTGGGATGCTGAGGTGGGCATCGGGATTCACAGTTTTATGCACAGTTTCAGGCTTGGGCCAACTTGGGCTCGCTCAATCGGAAATGTCGAAATGCCCGAACCAGGCCTCTAAATCTTGAGTCATCTTGGCTTTTCGAAGTTTGCAGGATATTCTTCGCGCTGGTCCGCATCTGCCCAACATCCTCGAGTTCGGCGCTTGTCAAAGCTGGGAAGATCTGGGAAGGGCAAACTACACAGCTCCCAAGCCCAACCGACGAGAACGACCAAAGTCGATTTCCGTCTTCATGTCTCCGGCTACTTCTCACACAGACCTTGAAAACCTGGACCCGCTCCAATCCCAGCTCTCCTCCTGAGGCCTCTAGTGCCCTCTGAGAGGGACAAGGTCACGGAGTTCATGAAGAAGCATCCCGAGGCGAGGATTCGGCGTCCCCCGGCACACCGGACGCAGTGTGATTAATTATGACCGCTCTTGTCAATCTTGTCATTGTCCTTTCTTGATCGTCCATGCTCTTGTCTTCTAATCTGATTTTGCCAGAGGCTTCTTCGAAGGAAATCTGGGCCGAGCTCGAGAAGATTGCGCACGCTGGCCGCAAAGCGGTCGATTCTACCCATGCCTAACACCAAAGGTCCTAGCCAGTCTTGAACTTCTGAGAGTTTCTGGAAGCAGGGAAACCTACCCCCCACCGCAGAAACTTGAGTTCCCCACGCCCTACGGACGCGCAATGATACTTCTGTCAGGGAGGAGCGAGACCGGGAAGCTGTGTCCTTCAAGCAAAAGTCGGAGGCCAAAGTGCTTCTCAAGGCCTTGGCCTGCCTTGGCCTACCCCGAGGAAAGACATGTAATTCTCGGACACCAGGCTCGGGTGTGTCGAGGTCAGGCGAAAGGGCAACTTGCAGGATCTTGGGGGCTCAGCCATGAAGCTCCAAGTCTAGTGTGGCTGGGCGAGGGGGGGTGGACTCAGTCGATGTCGATGTAGGGGCAGACGTTGGGATGCGCAGCCAGGATGTGACAGTTCAGTTCGCGTACCCGCGCTTGGATGTGAACGTCACAAAGCAGCGTTTCCCTCAGCGTTTGAAGACCCACCAAGCAATCGGGTGCTACAACTGGAATGGACAAGGGTTAGAGAAATGTGCGACTTCGACCCTGCCATGTCCGCCCTGAAATCCTGGATATCTGAACCACTGAACCCGCAACGGCACCGCACAGCAACGTTGCAAGTCTGAGCAGTCTTAGCAGCATCTCTGCCATGAGTCCACAAGGATCAACCACTTGCTGAAGTCGCCCTTCGTGGTGCACCCGAAAACAGGCGAGGCTGGGGACTCCTTTGAGAGGGAAACATCAGGCAGATGTGGGCTCGCTTGTGCCTTGAGGACTCAAAGACTCAAAACCAAACCTGCAAAGCTCCGAACCTAGAATTTCTACAACCTAGCCTTGCAAACCCTAAGCCCCTAACAGGCCTAGCCTAACAGTCGTTGGCACCCTAAACACCATGAACCTTCAAACATCCGACCCCTAAGGACCCTCAACCACAAATGCTACAAACCCCAGTCCTCAAAAAACGAAACTAAGACCAAAATAACCTGCGAACCCTAAACCGATGAATGGATCTACCGGGACACCAAACTTCCTCTTAGGCGCAGTGGAAGCTTTGGAGGCCCCAGCCTGAAAACGACGCAAGTGAGGCAAAACTAACATCAAGATTGCAAGTGCGGCTCTTTGAGACCTGGGCTTGGACCACTTGACATCAGGACGCGTGTGTGTCCCCATTGACCCAGATCACCTCAACGACTTCGATCCGTCCAAGGCCATGCCGGGGTAATGCAGAAGACCCCGAAGCATGCTTGCAAATACCCTTTTGTAGGCTTGTAGGCTGAGAACACATGCAACCTAATGGAACTGCTCCAAGGCTTTGACACGAACTTCTACAGAGCTGTAGGCTTGCGACTTGGGCTCTGGAGAGGTCCCAGAGCGCTGCGCAGCAAGTACATCAAAGTACCATGAAAAGTGCCGAAGGCTGCCAGCCTGATCAAGCCCTGAAAGGTGCCAACCATCGGCCACCTGGTGGAGGAGTTTAGCAGCAACAGCCTCAAAGGGTTTCTGCTTACGGGGCTCGCGTCATCGTTTCTCAAAAGGAGCTATTCTGTGACATTCTGTGACATTGTAAAGCATGTTCGAATTGAATTGCAACTTGGCGCAGCCCTGTGACCCTAAATTCTGCACCGAAATCTCATCGCCATAGAACGCCTGAGCAGCTGCGACGAATTAGCATAAGACCTTCGCCCGGAAGCAGCTGACCTGGCAGTGACCTCCTGAGGTACGCAAGATGTGAACAAAACTTCTCTGAGGCCGGCCGGGGCGGCCGGGCTGCTGTCGATTAAGTTTGTTCATGTGCCGGACACAGGGAACGGAACACGCCCAAATCGGTGAGATGAAGTTTGTGGGGTGTTTGTTCTTGCTCGCCACGCCAGAGATCGTGCATGGCATGACACGACATGAAGAAGCAGATTCCGATCAGGTGATGTGTATGTAGGGCGCCGTTGCGAACGTAACCTCCCTGAATGCGGAAGTGGCACCATTCACTGGTGAGTCAAAGCGGTTCTCTTTCTCTCTCACAGACTTTCACTCGCTCAACCTATCTCACATTTGCGCTCATGCGTGCGCGGATTGGTGGCCGAAAGGTATGATGTGCGGCTTGCAGCTGACTAGACGGCAACGCAAAGTGACATGACCCCTAACAACAAGACACCGAACTCCAAACAAACCCCTAAGCCCTTCTGCCTGTTCTGTGGGGTTTAGCTTGTCCCAAACTCCTGTAGCAGCCTGAAATGGGGTTGGGCAACCCTTGGCATTACGGCCCGGTACTCCAGCCCATGTTAAATCACCTAAACCTCAGCACCAACGCAACGCAGCATTCTAAATCCACATCAGGCCGTACTTGCACTTCTTCGAGGCCTGCACAGTACAACAGCACGTGTTGGGCGTGTTGGGCGTGTTGGGGTCAGGACTGGCACATCGGCTTCTGAAGTGCCCTGAAGTTTCTCAGGGTCGGGTGAGCGGTTACAAACACATGAAACAGCCTTGACTAATTACCGACACAACTTTCACAGAAAAGTTGACACTTCAAGACATTTTTCTGTTTGCAGATTTCCCTCTATAGGACGTACTTGCAGATTGTGCTCGTGAGCGCGCGTGGGTTACAGGTAGAGAAAGACAGGCAGAGAAGCTGACAACACAAGGAGCTACGACAAGCTGAGAACCCGAAAGACTGGGAGTCCAGACAACAAGGACTCTAGAGTACATGATGTTTCACGGTTTATACAGTGCAGAAGAATCAAAAAGTGACAATTGTCATACAATACAACATATAACGAAGCCAGAAAACTTTCACAGATTTAACAAGTAAATACAGAATCAAAGTTTCAGCATGATTATCGGCTTCCACAAAGAATTTTGGTCCCGGTCCCGTTGGGCCGTTGGGTGCTGCTGTATGGCTGTTTGACTGTTCTGAAGCCATAGCTGATATTGTCAGACTAACCAACCAGACTGTGAAGTCACGCCTGAACAACTCGGAACTTCATGAGCTGGACTCTCGTCAGACCGGCTTCCTTCAGAAGCTGGAGGCGAAGTCGACTGAGGACCCGGCGGCACGTTAAGTCCAGGGCGGTTCGGCTGGACCCTTGATGGGCTTTGCCCTGTGCTTTGCACCAGTTCAGTTTAAGAGGTTTCGGTCTGAACGTGGCTGTTGATGGGGCTCGGAAGGAGTTGTTCTTTGCACTTCTAGAGCTGATGGCCTGGCCCAGACTGTATACGATGCAGCCATCGCTTCCTCAGGAGCATCGGTGCGATCTGCACGGATGTTCATGAAATATGAAATCGATTGAGATCACGTGTTTGCAGCGTTGTCGCTTTATCAACTCAAAAGCACTTAAAATATTGGGGCGCTTGGTTGTCCCTTGCTTCTCTCTTGCTGCTCCCTTGCAGTTGCGATGCCACTGCTTCGTTGTATTTTTCCTTCGTTCAGAGGCAGATTGTGCAGTGGGAAGTCTATGTGTTCACAGTACATCCCTGAAACTCCCGACATCCTGAGATTCTGCGACGTAAACGACTCTCAACAGGATTTGGACAGTACTTTTGACAGCACTTCCCACTCAACTCCCACATCAAAACATCGGGCCCCACTCGAAGACCTGCTCCTTGACATGCCTCGGCCAGGAGATACGAGCTCTCAGCGATGCCAAGACGACCGGGGCGCTTATGGACTTCTGAGGTGGACATGCGCAGACATTCAGATGGAACTTCATTCCCGACTCCCCTGAACCCCAGGGCCGGTGGTACAGACAAACTCCTGGGCCAGTGCAATGGAATGCCGGTTCAAAGGTTCCCAGCACTTCTGATACTTACTCGCAAACAAGCCACCAATAGTTGTAGGATCAAGCAACAGGGGGGGGGAGCATCAGCGAGTTCTGGGCTCGGCACTCATAAAGTTTCGTAAAGCTTGCTTGGGTGATGGGAACTGGTTCCCGTCTGGTAAGACTCTGGTGTACTGTGGAATACTGTGCAGTGTGCGAGGTCCTGCATTCTGAGAGCTGCCTCACCTCCCGTGAGCTGGGCACGAATGCGCAGCATTCCGCTGGCCATCCCATGATCCTCACAAAGAGACTTCGACATCTTCGAGACCTTGGCCACATAAAGCCACAAGATAACACAAGGTCACACTTGCCACCTTATTGCAAGCTAGTCACTCGCTATGTCCTCTCCTAAGTTCCTAAGCTACCTTAACGACCTTTACAAGCTCCTAGCAGCTAGACTCTCCAAGCTCCTTCTGTTTCGGTGATCTGGGTGCCACACCCATACCGCCAAACCCTAAGCTCTATGAACCCCTAGCACTTCACATCGCGACTTACACCCTAGACTTCCTTTGACTTCCTGCCTTGGTAGGCAGGCAAAGGTTGGGATTGTGCGTCGGCCGGGTAGCAGGTGAGCTGTGCAGACCAGTGGGCCAAGTAGCGCATCTTTCACGGCAGCTACGCCCCCCAAACCCAAACCCCCGTAGCTTGATCCCAAATCCAGGGAACCCAGAACTACTGTCGGTGATTCGAAGCGGGCACATCACCTCGCTTCGGCTACTTCGCCCTGCTGGGCTTTGCATTGCTTGGGGATTCTGCCTTCCCCCCGTCTCCGGGGCTTTGCGGGGGGCAAACAGTGGCGAGCCAGGTTAAGGCAATAGACATCCAGGAATCTAGGAGGGCCTATAAGGAGCTTCATACGCGTGTGCCAAGCAGGTCAACTCAGAACATATTCACTCAAGTGACATTCTAATTTGTTCTTGCAGTCGAAGACGTTTGTAGGGCCGACTCACGACCCGAAATGGGCACATGATCTTCACAGTATCTGTGGCTTCGCCACAGATCACAGAAATAGTAAACCATACTGAGGGTTCAGGATTTAAAATGGCAGGCCATATGGCAGGTCGAGGCCGTGATCTCGATCTGAGACAAAAATGCAAACGGTCGTGCCATTCCAGCTCAAGTACAGCTGCCCATCTTCGCAGTTGACAGGGGATGCCGATGCAAATGCCAAGCAGGTAAGCCGTGGGCTGGCCTCGGGCGTAAAGACAGTCACATGTATACACAAAGTCACCTGCAGGACTTTGCAAACTCAGCCAATTCGCTCAGCAGCGCACCGTACACCAAAGCACAACAGAGCTAGAACCGATTCTGTACATCGACATCAGCGAGATCAGCGATATCCCTTTGCCCAGATTCCCAGAACGCAGTTCGACGTGCAACAAGGGAATGTGCATGACTTTAGTAAGGAGATCTCATGCTGGCAGTTGCTACAGTGGAGATGAAGTGGTGTATAATAATAAGGTAAGATGGATGCTTAGGCTGGGAGGACTTGTTTTGAAGCAGCAAGGTCGATGACGTGCAAAGTGTACGCGCATGTGGACGTGGGAGGGCACACTCCTCAGAGTCCTAGAGCGCTAAGCCCTCTCATGGGTTACTCACCGCTCCGCCTATACAGCTTACATGTGTTCTCCGCCACTACGACAGGTAAAACGTGAGTGCACACGATTCCCGATCTATAGGAAGAGCCTAGTTTTTGATTATGGGAGACCAGATCGAATTTTCCACCGACGTGGAATCAAGTGATAGAAGCGGCACGATATCAAGCAGCATCTTTACTGGACACGAAGGGGGATTTGTCAAAGCTATGCACCGCAGCTTCCGCGCAGTTCTAGGCTTCAGAAGTTTCTTGTCCACTGAACGACAGACGGAATTGAGTTGATCGGTGCGACCCAGGTATCCCTCCTTCGCGCTGCCGATTCAGGCTTCACCTTTCGGGGTTTCAGCCAAAAGAGCCCCCGAAACTTTAGACGCTTTTAAATTATGTTCCGGGTCTTTTGGGGCCTTGAGCAGGTTGGGCGGCCGGAGGAGACGCAGTTTGGCACCTTGAAGCAGGCGGAGTTTCTTTTACCCGTGTCGATTGTGACACGAGTTTTGTCATATGTTGGAACCAAGTGCCATGAGACGCATCAAACAGTAGAGGCCTGTGTTTTGATTGTGGGTTCGGTCGACAGAAACGGCGAAAGCCTTTCCATAGGAGCAAAGGACCAGAGAGGGAAGGCACAGGTTTGCCTATAGTTGGCTTTGTTTTTGTTTTGTAGTTTTGGGGTTAGCACGCTGTGCAGCATCCACTTGTGACTCTATGAGTGAAGGCGTTGTTGAAGGAGATTGCGCAGAGGGTGACGAATGCCAGCGAGTTGGATTACGTTCCCGGCTTAGTTTCGAGCTTCACGTCGGCGAAAGGCCCTCAGGGTTTGTGTTCGGGAGCCTGTGCTGACAATTGAGAATCGAGAAGTAGGTTTGTTGCAGAAGACAGTAAGGATAACCAAGAACCACGGAGCGTTCTCTCCTGCCGACTCGCAAGGTGCCTCGCTCGCGAGCCTATAAACTCGATCACCCCAAGCCCTAAAGCACGCAGGCAGCCAGTGAGAAAAATATTGCAGGCAGAGGCCCAGAACAGTCCAGGGGCGAGTGCGACTTTAAGAAACATGCTTTCGGACATGTTACACGTTTTATCTGGCACGCGAAAGCTGCATAGGTCCGGCGGAAGCTCATGTCGGGCTTCATGTCAGGCTTTATGCGCTCGTCGTCGCTTGTATGTACCAAAAGCCAAAGTTTGCTGGTGCCGCGAATTCGCAGCCACAAAGGCCATGTGATGCCATGTGCATCGCACAAAGAATGTTGCTTTGTCACGCGCTGAGGACACGCTGTGCTTCTGGAATCAGGACCCATGATGATCAGTTCCATCATGATTTGTCCACAGCCAACCATGTATGCAACTTCTGGCGTAAGCATGTCTGAGGTGATGAGGTCAAAAAACTTGATGCAGCTTGAACCTTGTGTTTGCCAGGATCTGTGCCCCATTCCTGACAGCTGCTCTGTGGCAGCTGCATCCTCGGATTCGGGCCGTGTCACATGATACAGAGTCACATGGAAGGGTCAGGGTGTTAGGAATATCGGAGTTGAACAATTGTAGCTGAAGCATCCTGTCATATCCTGAAGAACACTGAACCGGGACTTCGCCGACTTAACCGTGATTGTCCAAGAAACATAGGTCGTATACATCGGGATAGTACGTTGCAAGCTGCAAGGGGCTGCAGGGTTCGGTTCTGTGCATCGTGAGCTTCAGATCATATTGTCAACATCTGTTAGGTTGATGTCAGGTCTCAAAAGAAAAGATCCTCTTTCCACGGGTTCGAGGCTTTTGCCTGGGAGCACAATGACTTCTTCCTGCGGCCGACGCCTGCATCAGACTCCGCAGGCAGCTGATGCTGGCGGAGATCATGCTGAGATGCCCACACTCAATTTTCATCATGCACGCCGCCCTTGGCGTGGGCTAGGTCGCAATGCATGGGGAGCTTAGGACGTTGCGGAGAAGTGCGAGTTTCAGAGCCGCAGCTGATGCTCATGCTTCGTACTCGTGCTTCGTACTCGTGCTTCTTCATCTGATCTTTTGGCTTGGCTGGAGTTGACTGGAAAGTTCTCAGGAAGTGCACGGAAGCTCACATTTAGACACGTAACTTCAACCAAGCCAGAAACCGGCACTGTCCAAGAGTTGAACGTACCTTAACGACGTTTGTCGTACCGTCACAATCAATAACACCTGTTTCAATGAGTGAAAGCCTTTTAACACTCAAACCTGGGCCTGGGCACCCGTCAGGCTCTGCTCTGAACGAAAGTCGGGCCAAACGAGGGGAACTGCACAGGCCTCAGAATTTCCCAGAGACACAGACACAGAGACAGAGAGACAGAGAGACTGACAGAGAGAGAGAGAGAGAGACAGACCGTGGACTGTGCGCGCCCCTTGGGGCGGCTCTCCTCTTCGGGGGGGGGGCCATGCGTGTAGAGAGAGGGAGCGAGAGAGACTGACAGAGACAGAGAGAGAGGGAGAGGGAGAGAAAGAGAGAGAGAAAGAGAGAGAGCGAGTATGTGTGTAGCCATTTTGGCTCAATGTCGGAACCTCCCTCGGCTTGAAGCCGGGGTCCACCAAGGATAGGTGGCTTCGGGGGTCCGGTTGTGAGCTTTTGCATGGGCTTCTTCAGGGCTGGTGTCGGGAGCGGCTTCCGCTGTGCTCTTGGAAAAGAGAGGACAGTGATTGCATTAAATGATGTTGATGCCCACAGCACATGGTGTAGGCCCACGAAGCACTGCGTTCCTCCCGGCCCCTCACGCCACCCCACAACCCCCCGCGCTTCTTCACCAACCGTGCCTGCTGACTAAAACGACCTCGCTGCTGTTTTGCTGGTTTTTGCCATGCTGCTGTTAGATGCATGGATGGATGGCGTGATGGGTTTCGTGATGTATGTTAAAAAATTCGCGAGATCTTAAACGCGGCTTGAGAACGCTTTCGGGACAACCGCTCTAGTTTTGGTTGGGGGGCAGGGCCTGGTTTTTCCCTCCCTGCACGCTCTCGAGGTCTGGGTTTAAGTTGGATAAGGGCGGAGTTGAGTTGGGAACCCTAAGCTCGCGGAAGAGCCCTGTAAAAACTTTTCGATGCTCTTGGATGCATGCTTCATGGGCCCATACAGATTGGTTAGCTTAGAGGCCAACAAACGAGCCGCCTGTAGGAAAGCAAAGAAGCAAACCAGCAAATAACAAAAGAACTAAGCTTCGCGAGCGCCACGAAAGCGCATCCCAAATGCGCAACAAACGAACCGCGTGGAGCAAAGCATACATACAAACACAGCGTCAAGCCATCCAGAGGAACCAGGAGTCGCGATCTTTACAACTGCTCATGAGCGCGTAGCCTTTGA